ATGACAGCGGGGCGCTGGGGCGTGGTGGGCTGCCTGTCACCGGCTCACTTCCTCTCTCCTGGTTCTGGAGGAGCCGCACCTGTGCTGGGCCCTAGCCCCCCAGTCTCCTGATTTCCACAAAAATTGACAGGAGCGGAGGGCTGTGCTGTGAGCCTTCCAGCTTTAGAAAGAGTGTCCCGTCCACCAAGTCCCTTCCCCAGATGAGGACCCGGGACCCAGGCTCCTCTGGGGGAGAAGGAGAGGCCCTTGGACTCTTAAGCTGTTGAAAAATACCAGGAAGCAAAGTTTCTAGTTGATTCATTCCAATGTTCCGCGTGCAGGCCCAGAGCAGAGTGCAGGCTGAGGGCCATGAGTCAGGACTGGAGAGTCATAAACTGGGTCAACAGCAGTCCTGCACGAGAACCAGAGACGCACAGAGGAGATGACCTACTCGGTCCACTCCACGAGAACAGGCAAACTAGAACAGACAGCTGAGTTCTGACTACTGTGCATTTTCCAGTGTTCTGTCCATGGACTAGTAACGTTTGGTGATAGAAACTAAAGACATACAAAATTCATAAACGTGTAATTTACAAAAACTATGCTGCTAAAAAAATCAAGATTTTCATGTTATTTATGTTCTATTGACATTAATGATCTACATTAGAATTAAAAATGTAATAGTATTTAAAATGTTCAAATTTGAATACATAAACAAAAAATTAAATATAAAGAACCAAAATATTTTAAAAATTATTTTGATTCAAAATATTTATTCTAAATAATCAAAATGACACAGTAACAAAGAGAAGAAATGAAACTTAATCATATTAATAATTTTGTGGTTGTTCAGGCACTAAGTTGTGTCTGACTCTTTACAACCCCATGAACTGCAGCACACCAGGCTTCCCTGTCCTTCACCATCTCCTGGAGCTTGCTCAAACTCATGTCCATTGAGTCTGTGATGCCATCCAACCATCTCATCCTCTGTTGTCTCCTTCTCCTCCTGCCTTTAATCTTTCCCAGAATCAGGGTCTTTTCCAATGAACCACCTCTTCACCTCAGGTGGCCAAAGTATTGGGGCTTTGGCTTCAGCATCGGTCCTTCCAATGACACACTTCTTTCCCAATTTGGAACCAGTCCGTTGTTCCACATCCAGTTCTATTGCTTCCTGACCTGCATAAAGGTTTCTCAAGAGGCAGGTCAGGTGGTCTGGTATTCCCATATCTTTAAGAATTTTCCACAGTTTGTGGTGATCCACACAGTCAAAGGCTTTGGCATAGTCAATAAAGCAGAAATAGATGTTTTTCTGGAACTCTCTTGCTTTTCGATGATCCAACAGATGTTGGCAGTTTGATCTCTGGTTCCTCTGCCTTTTCTAAATCCAACTTGAACACCTGGAAGTTCTCGGTTCATGTACTGTGGAAGCCTAGCTTGGAGAATTTTGAGCATTACTTTGCTAGCGTGTGAGATGAGTGCAATTGTGTGGTAGTTTGAACATTCTTTGGCATTGCCTTTCTTTGTGATTGGAATGAAAACTGACTTTTTCCAGTCCTGTGGCCACTGCTGAGTTTTCCAAATACGGTTGCATATTGAGTGGAGCACTTTCACAGCATCATCTTTTAGGATTTGAAATAGCTCAGCTGGAATTCCATCACCCCCACTAGCTTTGTTTGTAGTGATACTTCCTAAGGCCCTCTTGACTTCCCATTCCAGGATGTCTGGCTCTAGGTGAGTGATCACAGCATTGTGATTATCTGGGTCATTATGACCTTTTTTAATATAGTTCTTCTGTATATTCTTGTCACCTCTTCTTAATATCTTCTGTTTCTGTCAGGTCCATGTTGCTTCTGTCCTTCATTGTGCCCATCTTTGCATAAAATGCTTCCTTGGTATCTCTAATTTTCATGAAGAGATCTCTAGTCTTTCTCATTCTACTGTTTTCCTTTGTCTCTTTGCATAGATCACTGAGGAAGGCTTTCTTATCTGTCCTTGCTATGCCTATTGCTTCTCGTCTTTTCTCAGCTATGAGTAAGGCCTCCTCAGACAATCATTTTGCCTTTTTGCATTTCTTTTTCTGGGGGATGGTCTTGATCACCACCTTCTGTACAATGTCATGAACCTCCATCCATAGTTCTTCAGGCACTCTGTCTATCAGATCTAATTCCTTGAATCTATTAGTCATTCCCACTGTATAATTGTAAGGGATTTGATTTAGGTCATACCTGAATGGTCTAGTGGTTTTTCCTACTTTCTTCAATTTAAGTCTGAATTTAGCAATAAGGTGCTCATGATCTGAGCCACAGTGTTCATGATCAGCTCCCAGTCTTGTTTTTGCCAACTGTAGAGAGTATCTCCATCTTTGACTGCAAAGACTATATATCAGTTTGATTTTGGTGTTGACTATATGGTGATGTCCATGTGTAGAGTCTTCTCTGAATTGTTGTTGAAAGAGGGTGTTTGCTATGACCAGTGGGTTCTCTTGGTAAAACTCTGTTAGCCTTTGCTCTGCTTCACTTTGTACCCCAAGGCCAAATTCGCCTGTTACTCCAGATATCTCTTGACTTCCTACATTTGCATTCCAGTCCCCTATGATGAAAAGGACATCTTTTTTGGTGTTAGTCTGGAAGGTCTTAGTTAGCCTAGAAGGTCAACTTCAGCTTCTTCAGCATTAGTGGCTAGGGCACAGACTTGGATTACTGTGATATTGAATGGTTTGCCTTGGAAACAGAGATCATTCTGTCATTTTTGAGACTGCACCCAAGTACTGCATTTTGGACTCTTGTTGACTATGAAAGCTACTCCATTTCTTCTAAGGGGTTCTTGCTCACAGCAGTAGATATAAGCATCATCTGAATTAAATTCACCCATTCTGGTCCATTTTAGTTCACTGATTCCTAAAATGTAAATGTTCACTCTTGCCATCTCCTGTATGACCACTTCGAATTTAGCTTGATTCATGAGCCTACATTTCAGGTTCCTATACAACATTGTTCTTTTCAGCATTGGACTTCACTTCCATCACCAGTCACATCCATGACTGGGCGTTGCTTCCACTTTGGCTCAGCCTTTTTATTCCTTCTGGAGCTATTTCTCAACTCTTCTCCAGTACCTTATTGGGCACCTACTGACCTGGGGAGTTCATCTTTCAGTGTCATATCTTTTTGATAAATAACATCAATTTAATTATAAATTAATATTATTTATTAATTAATATTAGTTAATATTTAGGGCTTCCTTGGTGCCTCAAATGGTAAAGAATCTGCCTGCAATGCAGGAGACCTGAGTTTGATCCCCGAGTCTGGAAGATACCCTGGAGAAGGAAATGGAAACCCACTCCAGTGTTCTTGCCTGGGAAATCCCATGGATAGAAGAGCTTGGTGAGCTACAGTCCACGGGGTCACAAAGATTTGGACAGGACTTAGTGACTAATACTTTAATATTTAATAGTCAATTATTTGTATGTATGACTAAGCACACATAGCATACACCTTTAATTTTCAAAAAATTTAATTAGATCTTACTAAATATTCTGTAAAAATAAAACATCATGGCTAGTCATTTAAAATTGTCCATCAGTGGCCAGAGTAGAGAATCAGTCCCTGCTTCACCGCATCATGTCCAGAAGCAGTCTGAGTCTGGTGTGTCCCATTCCACCCATTCCTTTGTTGCTAAGAGCTCCGTTTTCTGCTCACGTGAACTGAGTGAGTTGGAGTCCTCGTTACTGAACATCTTTGAACAATAGAGCTGGACCCAAACAGCCTCCCAGGGGTCCTGGGGGAGATGTTGATGGCTCACAGTTTGGCCGCCCCTCAAGCCGCCTCGGGGGCAAGCCCCAGGTTGTGGGGAGACCCATGGGTCCCTGGACCTTCAGTGCTTGTCAAGCAGGAAGGCCCTGCAAACTCCAGCCACTTTCCTAATGGGAGATCATCTCTGGGGTTCAGCCCTGGCCCCCCAGGACCCTTCCCTGACATGGTCCTCCCAGGCACAGAGCATCATCTGCGTCTCTGGGGATCGACTGGCTCTGTCATCTCCAGGACATCTCCCCACCAGACTAGACGAGTTGCTGCAGGATGGGCCCACATGTTTGCAGGTGTGAGGAGCTCAGGGTGGTGTCATCCAGGTGGGTGCCACGTTGCTGTTCCAGTCACCCAGGCAGGCCAAGTGGGCAGAGCTGAAGGGCAGGAAGGATGGGGTGTCCTGGCAGGTGCACGGTCACACTGGCTGAGCACCCCGAGGGCCCTGGCCCTGCCCCACAGCTCGGCCTGTCTGCCCAGAACAGAAAAATGGCGTCTGCTTCTTCAGCCTTTGTGTCCGTGGAAAAATGCTGAAAAGATTAAGATCCATTATCTACTAATTTAAAATGAATAAGCACTTCTTCTCAGAACTGGAAATTCCCCAAGTGACCTTGCCCGAATATACAAATTTCTGTTACGTGTCCTGAGCTTTGCTGTTTTACTAGAGCTAGAACATGCTCTGCTGGTTGGAACCCTGTTGCCCCACCGTGTGCACCAAGTCTGGAGTTTCGCACCTGGGCCCCGAGGCTGGAGGGAGGGAAGGAATGCCCGAGGTACCTCTGCCCACCTGGGGCCCACGGGCCCCTGTTCCGGGCCTCAGGTGCCCCTCTGCGGGAGGGTGGTCCCAGCCCAGGGCATCTGGGGGATGCTCCTCGGACAGGTGTGTGCGGCGCTGGACCGACACTAAATCGAGGGTCGGCTTCTTTACAGAGAAAGGAAGCTCAGAGCACCTGGCAGGCGTTCAGCAAACACCTTCTCTTCCTGTCTTTCCCCTGTGATTAAATGGCCAGTTTACAGATGCAGGAAAAAGATCCTACTGATGGTGCTCTCAGAAATTACCTGCAAACACCTCTTGGTGTCTCCATAGTCAGTCATGTGGAAAGCCGTTACCAATTATTTCAGCATCTGGCTCACGTCTCACGTGGGCTGAATCCCAGGATGTGAGACACATAAGAACCAGCCTAAGCAGGCGACCTTCTGAGCCCCGCAAGCAGGAAAGGTCAGGGTGGCGAGCGGTAAGGGCCACAGGGTAAATCCAGAGTGGCTCCTTCACCGGGGCTGGGAGGGTTAGGCATGAACAGTTCTGAAAGCTTCATACTCCCTGGATGCCTTTCAAAAAAGATGTGTTTAGGAAGCTGAACTGTTGGCGCCTTTTTGAAATGAAGGATCCATTTCACGGAGCTTCAGAGAATGTCCAGCCGCCAGCAGGACATCCTCCCCTGGGTGTGATGCAAAGTGAGAGGCGAGGTCACCCGTAAACAGTCCCCGCCGCACAGCCAGCGCTGTTTGAAACCCTCCGTCATTCTAAACAGAAACAGATGTTTGTGCCGCAGAGCTGTGCAGAAGTCGTTCTTCAAACAGTAGATTAAAACATCTGTCAGGATAGCCTGGAGGGCCAGACCCACAGCGGCCACCCCAGCTGGGCCTGCCAATCATGGCCTTTCCAGGGGGATAGGGGGTGGACAGAGGGACTGGAGGAAGCAGGGAGGTCCTGTCCTCTGCTAGTTCCTCTTGACCTCACTGCCAGGATTCCGACGTCCCGCTGGCCTGTCCCCTCTCCTGCTGGCCTGTCCCCTGGCCTGCTCGTCCATCTCCTGTCCTGCTGGCCCATCCCCTGAACTGCTCGTCTGTCCCCTGGCCTGCTGGCCTTCTTGGAAGTGTTTTTTGTCCCCTCAGTGCCACTTGTTGCTGAGATAGGGCAGCTGCTACTCCTGGCTGGTCTCTGTGTCCCTGGCAGGTGCAAGGACCCAGGGCCTTTCTTCTCCAGGCCAGCTGACCTCCTGGCATCTCCAGAGGCTGCTAGCTGCACTTCACATGTTGCCTTATTATCACTGATATCTTAGGACCACATGAAGGGGGCAGTGATGTCTGCTGTGGCCTGGCATGAAGACCAAGACTTGGAGGTGAGGGCAGGGTCAGGAAACGGGTGTACAGTGGATGCTCAGAGCATGGGACTTCCCAGGTGGTACAGTGGTAAAGAATATGCCTGCCAATGCAGGAGACACAGGAGACATGGGTTTGAAACCTGGGTCAGGAAGATCCTCTGGAGGAGGAAATGGATGCTCAGAGCAGAGGGTCCCTCTGCCTCTCTTTATCTCACCCCAACATCAAACAAGCCTGATCATAGGCCAGAGCCTCCTTGTGCTGGGTTGGTGGAGACTGGGGAATAGGTGTGCACCTGTGACCTGGACATGGACACTACACTCACCTTGGGGGAAAGGGGATGATGGGGGAGGGGATCATGGGGGAGGGGAGATGATGGAGAGGAGAGATGATGGGGAAGGGGATGATGGGGGAGGGGATGATGGGGGAGGGGTGATAGAGGAGGGGAAATGGTGGCGGAGGAGGATAATGGCGGAGAGGAGATGATGAGGAGGGGGGATGTAGGGGGAGGAGAGATGCCTGGGACCCATCCAAGGAGCCTGCTCCCCAGGCCTGGCGCCTAGAGAGAGCCAGAAGAACCTCCACCAACACTGCTGCCAGTGGAATAAACAGGCTTCTTATAAGCCTGACAGTGAACTTCCCCAACCCCTTCAGGACTATTTTGAAACAAAAATTTTATCTATTATCCATCTATCTACCCATCATCTAGCAGTCATCTATCTATATCTGTCTACCATCTATCAATCATAATTTTCTATTTGTCTATCCATTTATCCATCCATCATCTCTCATCTGCTTGTGTACATCTGCTTGTGTACATCCGCCCATCCACCTTCTATGTATGCAACTATCTATCTCTCTATCATCTAAAAACTAGTTATCTACTTACATATCTCAGCACACCTGAAGCCCATGGGCTCTTCTCGAGGAGTTCGGGACCTGCAGGGGTGGTGTCCTACTCATTCTGGACGCTCCAGCATCTGCACAAATCAAGAACTCAGTGGATGCTTGCTTATCTGTGATATTCAGCAGTAGTGATTCTACCATTTGAGGGCTCCTGTGTGTGAGAGGAATTCTGTTTGTTTTGTATCATCACCAGGATTGGCAGACAGAAACCACGAGGACTTCCCAGCTGTCAGAGTCTCCAGAGAGGGAGGGAGCTTCTTCAGGACCATGGAGCTGAGGCAGAGAGCGGAGACCTTGATGGAGGGAGGAGCACTAGACCTGGAAACTTCCTTCGGGGATGAGTGTTACTCCCTGGCCTGGAGCAAGAGAGCCGCCCTCTGATGTGTTTGGAAAGGGAGGTGGCGGCACTGCTGGGGCGGAGGTGCGTGGGGTCACTGTGCTGCTGGGGACGCGGGGGCTTCTCTGGACTTGATGGACCCTCCGCCTCCCGCGTCCTGTTAGAACTGTTCCTAGCAGCTCCAGTCTTCACACACTTGGAACATCCCTTCCAGGGACTGCGTGCACCGGCAGGGTCACCTCTGGGCTCCAGGTGGCTGTGGGCCTTACATGCAGGTCGACCTCTTGCCGCCCAGCAGGCTGCACAGTCCCAGCTCCCGTGTGCCTGAGCCCACAGGATCACCCCAGCTGCCCCCGCACTGAACTCTGGACGCTGGGAGCTCAGATGGGCATCAACGTCACGCATCCCCTCGGAGTCTAGGCCTCACGTTCCTGTTGCTGCTCCAGCTCTTCCATGCCCCCAGCTCTTGCCCCCTCAGGCTGCACATGTCTCCGGTGTGTCCCAAGGTCGGAATCCCCAGGAGAACACAGGCCTTGCCGGCAAGGACATCTGGGCAGTGCCTGGTCTGAGGGACCCCCGTGACTTACTGCTGCGTAACAACTGGCTAGGTGGAGGGCACAAGTCAATGAGAGCCGGGACACAGGGCTGTGGGTGTGGGAGGAGCTGGGAAGAGCTGGGAGGACCGTGCGACCCCAGGTCCTGTCCCCGTGAAGGTGCTCAGTGCCTCACTTCTCTCTGTTGGGTCTGCGCTTCCAGCGGGTGGTGACTGTATCCCCAAGAGTTACTAGGGACATAGGGGTGCATGCGCTTCTGAAAATGCTTCTTAAATCACATAGGAGAGGAGTTCTGATGGCCTGAGGTTCACACACTGTCCAGGTGCTGTTGGGTATGGATCACAGGTGACTGAGGGCCCAGCCAGTGGGCCTGAAATGGGCACGCCTGACCCCTCCCCAGTGGGCACACATGACCCCAGTGGGCACGCCTGACCCCTCCCCAGTGGGCACACATGACCCCAGTGGGCACCCCTGACCCCTCCCCAAGCCTCTAAGAGCAGAGTCCCCGTGTCTGAGACCCTCCCTCGGGCCAGGAGGGGTGGACCACAGAGCTGTAGACAGGCCACACAGCCATCACTGCGGCCATGCTGAACCCCCCGGCATGGGGACACCCACCGTGAGAACACTTGGAGGCCAGCGCCCAGCACCCCACAGTTTGTTTTTTCCTTCAGCAATCTGCTGAATAAGGGCAGGGTGGGGTGGAGCACCGGCTTGAACTCACCACGCGTTCCCCAGCAAAAGCGACCCAAACCTGCGTGTTTGTGGGCTCCTTTAGCCAACTTGTGATTTATCTTGGTTCTAACCCAGCGGGCTGCAAACCAAGACAAACAGCCTTTGATGTAATCAGCGTATGACTCAGGTCCCCTGCACGATGGTTCCTGTGCAGAGGAAACAAAAAAAGGCCTTGAAAAGTTGCCAGTGGAAAGTGTGTGTCTGCAGCTGAAGGGAGACCAGTGGTCTTCACTGCTCTGTGCAGGCCCAGTGTCCAGGGCAGCCCGTCAGAGGACATCCGGCTGGTCACTGGGGGCCCGGAGCAGCCCACCTGGGGACGTCCGTGCTGGTCACCCAGGGCCCAGGAAGGCCCTTCAAGGGGCGGTCCAAGCTGGTCACTCACGGCCTGGGCAGCCTGTCAGGGGTCCTCCGTGCTGGGCGTTCAGCATCAGGAAGTTGCCCACCCCTCAATCCAGACTATCACACTCTGGCTGGCAGGAGGGGCGTAGAGAACTTGCAGCGATGCGGGAGCGCTCGGACTTGAGGGTGGTGCCCACCCCCCCGCCACCGCTGCCTGTGATCTCGGGAGACTCCATGTCTGGGAGCCTGTCCCTCCACCCTGGACAAGGGCTGGAACTCTTCTGAGGGACTTTTTATTGGTGAGGAGATGTTGCGTTTCCTGCTGAGACTAAGCAAGAGGAAACCCAAAGCCTGTGGGGGGCACTTGGGACCCGCGGGGAGGCCTCACCCCATCCGCTCCCTTGCCCTGTGCTGCCCCGGGGACAGTGCGGTCTGGGACGACTGAATGGGAAAGAAGGTTTGTTTCCCACCACAGCCCAGGAAACACTCCCGGAAAGCCACCTTCAGAAGCAGACAGAGGGCCGGGCAGCCGGGACGCCGCTAACCAGGGGCCGCCCGCAGCCCTGCGTTCCTGGACTCAGCCCCTGATTCAGACCCTGGCCTTACCAGGTGCCAGGACTCCCCAGATGTGGAGAAGGTAGTCAGAGACACAGACCCTCCTTCCTGAGGGTGAAGACCAGTGAGGGAGACACACGAGACACCAGCGTACCCAGAGTAACCTGCACCGGGAAATTCATGGCCGGGCTCTGGGGAATGGCCTGGGGACATGACGCACAGTTCAGGGTTAGTAATCAGACTCATCTCATTTAACAAAGAGAAGTGGGACCCAGGATCGGTGACTTGCGGCCACCTGCACTGGGGTTCTGAGGAAATGGGGGCTTCCCCTTGTAGAGCTAGGAGCTGAAACCGGATCTCAGGACGTGAACCCCTGGCCGGAGGAGCACCTTCCAGGTGACGTGTTGTCTCTCAGCGTCTCAAAGGCCCAGCGGCAGGTCTGGGAGACGAGCAGGAAGGTTGAGGCATCTGTGGGCTCTGGGCACCTTTTATCTCACAAACCGCCTCACTCACAGGTTCCTGCCCAGGAGCAGGTCTGCCCACACCCATGCAGAGGGTCAGCTGACCCCCCAGCAGTGATATCAGCCAGGGTTGGGAGAGTTTCAGGGTCAGATGAAAACTTCTTACAGTAAAGAGATGAAGACACCATAAGAAAAGTCCGTTGACAAACATGAGAAGATATTTGCAAAGTTACAAGAGCAAAAAGCTAACATCTAATAAGCTATACTCTGTAGAGAGATTTAACAAACTGATTAGCTAAAGATAACCCAATAGAAAGAGAAATGGACAGATTTGAATGGTGATTAACAGAAAGGCAAGTCCAGAGGAACACTGATGAAACTCAGAAAATGCTGATTAAGGGAACAGTGAAATATCAATCCACAGAGTCAATCACAAATAAAGAATGGTAGTCCCTGCTGGGAGGAGGTAGGAATGTGAATAGTTACGACCACCCGGGGAAGGATTCTGGTACCATCTGCTGGAACAGACAGTCACCCCCACCCAGGAACCCATGTGCTGTGTTCCACACGGAGGACAGCAGCGCTTGGTAAGGACGCACACGCGTGCAGAACCCAGGCCTCTGCACTGCACTCGCCCCACAAGGGGAGGGAATCCAAGCGGGCGTGTCGGGGCTTGCTCGCATCGTGGACTGTCTTTACAGCTGTCGTGACCACCATTAGACGGTGCTGGTTGACTTGGAACGCATTCTTAAATGGGAAGAACAAAGACGAGGTAAGGTTATATAATGTGATTCAATCTTTTCAACAGTGATACACTCGCAATTGCATAGATACACATGCACACGTGTAATTGCATGTGATTCACTGGAATGAGGGGACGATGTGCAGGACACACCCCCAGGCTCATGATGGCAGTCTGGCATGGGGGTGGGGAGGCTGGAGGAGAAAGGACAGAAGCCAAACACTGGCTTTTTTAAACAAGACTTTGGCTATGTTGGGAACTTCACGTGTGGTACTCTCCGTTTATGTGAAAGTGCGCGTGTGTGTACAGAGGCTTGGATGATGTTCACTGACATGTCAACTGTGGTGACCACGGAACTACAGGCTTCTGGTGATTTCCTTCTTTTTAAGACCTTACAGTTTTGTAAATTTTTATACGAAAGTATTTTTTAAATTGTTGCTAGTGTTGTTTAGTCACTAAGTCGTGTCTGACTCTTTTGCAACCTCATAGTCTGTAGCCCGCCAGGCTCCTCTGTCCATGGGATTCTCCAGGCAAGAATGCTGGAGTGGGTTGCCGGTTCCTTCTCCAGGGGGTCTTCCTGACCCAGGGATCAAACCCAGGTCTCCTGCATTGCAGGCAGATTCTTTACTGCTGAGGCATCAGGGAAGCCCCATTTTAAAAAAATCACTAACCAGGAAAAGAGCGGCAAGGTTACTTTGCTGTGGGGAGAAATAGAAACACACAGCTAGAGGAGGCCTGCCAGGGGCTGGCCCAGCCTGTCCCTGCCCCGCCTCGTGGTGGGGCTAGGATGGGGGGCTGTGGGCCCCAGAGAGGACCCAGCCTTGGGTGGCGGGGTGGAGGCGGAAGGGTGTTTGTGCGTCTGCACGGTTTGCCGTCAGCGGGGCGAGCCTGAAATGTCGCAGGAAGCTTCTCCTGACTCATCTCAGAGCAAACACAAGACAGGACAAGCCTGGTCCACTCTTCCTGTGCGGACACTCCCTGCCTCTCGCTTCTCTCCCACCTGGCTGAGGGGCAGGCACCGGGAAGGGCGCTTTGCATGTTCTCAGCCTCGAGAAGAGCGGCCTTTGTGTGGAGACGGCCTGTCTCCTCGCAGGAGCTCCTGGGCACCTTTCAGCCTCTGCCATACCCCTGGCTCAGTGCAGTTATGTGAATGCTTCTTGTGAGAGAAGGGAAGCTGCTTCCGTGTTTTATTAGGTCTTTCTAGGTATTGTAAATTTTTTAAATTCCATTTACTGTACATTATTAACTGATTAGTATTGAAAACTACCATTGGACACTTAACAAAATTAAGGATTATTTAACCCAGATGATAATTAAGAATGCCAGTTTTATTCCTTTTTCTTCCAATGGGCTCACCAGAACAAGGAATGACGCTAACCAGTGGGAGGTGTCTCTGCTCAGCATTTACCTCTGAGCCGTGGTTTGTGGCTGATCTGTCGCCCATGGCATGCAGGAGTCCACTGATCGATGCCCGGCGAGCCAGTCCGGGGGAGCCGCTGCCCAAGCGTGAGGCCCTCCGGTGCCGCAGAGGCTGCGAGTTAAGTTGGTGAGGAGCGTCTGCCCTCTGTGTACACGCAGCAACCTGGTTCAGGGAGATTGAATGACACATCTGAGGGCGCCCAGATAATAAGGAGCAGAGCTGGATCAGTGGAAACCCTTTCATGTAAACATCCAGGGTTGGCTCCAAAAAATAGACATTTTGCATTTAATCAACAGAAAAGCTTTGGTTTGAGCTCAACTCAATCCATGACTGTGGACAGTCCGGAAAGTGGATATTCTGGAATTCAGTCAGAGGCCTTTCCTTCCTTCCTGGCCTTTTCATTTTTTCTTTCTGTGGTCGAATGTTAATTGCAGCTAAATCTTGTCTCCCAGACGTCAGCCTGAGCAACCCGCCAGCGCCCTGACTCACAAGCGAGTCCCAGAAGGTGAGCCGCTTGCAGAGGGTGTCAGCCTCTTCAGATGCGAGTTTGCTGGTCAACCCAGGGCCTTCTGTGCTGGCATGTAGGTCCCAGACCATCATGAAATTCTGGCATGGACACAGGTTCCTTCCTTGCCTCACATCTGAGTATTTATGCTGAGTTTGGAAAGTAACCACAGTTTGTTCCAGCAGGAGTCAGCCAGGTCAGCCTCTGCAAGTCGAGATAAAGCCTCTGCCTTGTCCAGAGCGAGGGCTACAGATAATAGCAATCTGGGAGAATGGGTCTGCCTTACACCAGGGGGCCCATGGATCACAACAAGACCCCAAGTGGCTGGAGGACGTCCAGGAACCAGCGGCTGTTCACTGCTCATTATCGCTTTCCAAAGCCCAGGGTGTGGACACTTGAAATTATAAT